TCAGTTTACAAAAATCCACTAGTTTATTAATCACTCAGGAAGACCCTGATCATTCACTCGAACATTTCAGCATTCCCAAGCCTCCTGTAAAGAGCATACCTTCGAGCACGCCTCCAAACTCCAATCCCTCTATTGACAAGCCTGCCGTCCCCGCCCCTGCATCGCCGCCCTTCACGCCGTCCTTGCAGAAAAGCAATGACATTCCCACCGAGGTGTTAGCCGACACCTCGGTCACCCCAGAAATTACAGCATCTCCTCCCGTAGAGACTCCATCGCCGGAGCTTAGCCCAGATGTAGCATCTGAACCTATTGCGGTGACTGAAGAGATTCCAGTCTTACAATCCGAATCTTCGCCAACTCTCGAACCCGATACCACACCCGCTGCCCCTACCGAAGATCAAGCTGAATCGGTCAATCCAGTAGATGTTCAGAGTAGTACGGATATAGTTGCTTTTGTATTTCCAAATAGGACTGGAAGATCACCCAAGAAAGTTTATATCAAGCTTGAGCTATTGCAAGGCATCGAACATTTCAAAAAATGTAAGTAGAATGGGACTGAGAAACATCTGCCAACCCGTCATAACTGCTCGAGCTGATTTTTTGTCTCTCTACAGTGCTTGAAGGCAGTGCAGCTGAGTCAGAGATCCCAAGCCGCTATCCTCCATTTCGCGCCCTAGTCATAACGATTACAGAAATGTTTGGCTCGTTGATAGGACCATGGATGAACAGGGCCAACTGCCGAGCAGAAGCTCTTCTCGCTCGGCTCCCCACCATTGGTCGAATCTTCCGGTTTGCCCAGGAATATCTGGTGCCGAGTATGACACGGGTGTTGATAGGCTTGTTTAAGTTGATCGGATCAGGGGTTGAACTGATCCTTGAGGAATTAATTACGCTGGTGGAGAATATAATGAATCCGAAAGATCAAGATCTGATGTTAGTTAAAAAGATCTGGATGATGACTACTCTTGGTAGGATTCGAGTAGGTTTGAAATACATCTTAGAATCTTGGAAAGGGCTCAGAGCTTTTTTATTGAGATCAGAGGAATGGGATGAAGAGGAAGATATCGAGTCTTTTTGTGAGGATAATGAAGGATATGAAATGGTATGTTTTAGTCTCATGTCTCATTACAAGTACAATTAGTGATGTGACGCCCTTTGATGAATTTTGACAGACAAATAATCGAGAGATTCAAAGGATGATTGTAATTAATGACGCTGCGTAAGTGTTTCTGCTGTATCTAATCACTAAATCTCTGTATTTCCACTCACATTGTGGTTGTAATTACAGATACTCCACGTATAAAGCCCTGGCGGACTATCTGGAGCACCGGTAAGTGCCATAATCATGTTCTCAGCGGTACTTGTGTGTCACTTCGATAAAAGACGTAAAAATCTTGAACCTGATCCTTTGTGGTTTGTAGAACGGTGAACTTTGCGCCTCTGCGGTCCAAGTTTGAGTGTCAAAAAGCATTGTTAATCTCCACGGTCGGTCTAGGAAGCTTCCCCCTGATTATCGAAGTTATCTTCACTCACGTTTGAATGGACAAGCGTGCTGTGATGCAAGAAAGTTATACAAACTTTCCAATGGTTAGTCTTTCTGATTAGTTTTTTTAGGATGATGGAATGAAGATGAATGAATCTTTGTCTTTTGTTGGTTTGTTTGTTTCTTAAAAACCTATAGAATTGAAAATAAATGAATTAAATGGATTAGCTCGAGAATATCTTATGAAGAATATTAACCAATCGAATGTAAGATATGAATTTCAAAAGGCAAAAGAAATGAAATTAGAAAAGATATGTGAAAGTTATATTAAATTTATGGAACTTGATGAAGGATATTAAGTTTTGTTTTTGAATTGTATTTTGATTAATAAGATGTCTTCTTGTATTATGATGTATGTATCTAGATGGGGGTTTTTTTGGTGTATGTGATATAATGTTTGGGGTTTTGAGTTTGCAAATTTGTTGAATGTTTTTTGATTGTTATCTTTGTAAATAATCAACGTAATCAGAGCGCAACTGGGGTATCCAACTTCAGACGTGACGTACTTTCCAAGGTTCATTAACTACTTAGTGATTGAATAACTTGTTTTTTTTGAAGAAATTATAAATCATGCCTGAGGCTGTTAGTCCTAAATACCACAGGATACATGTCTGTGTTGTGGGTACTCGTGGGCAGAAGCAACTTTTCAAAGCCACAGGCAGAGAAAGCCACAAATAGAAAACTTCCATATGTTGGAAATATGTTAGGATGTTGGGGAAATGAGGCAAGCACCACTCTGGCACGTGCACTAGTTACAAAATCAAGTTTGGATGAATGCATGAAGTGTAAAGCAGTGCGTCTATCCCAAGTGGATGGTAGGTAACATTTGTCAAGAAGGGTATTTAAATTGATCTCTTTGTTTTTTTTGGATCTTCTTTTGCATGATGTTAGAAAATGACTGTTTCTTTCACAAAGCTTACCAAAGTTTTGATGACAATTTGCCTGGAGTTCAGGAAAAACTGGTTGGAATCTTGTCAAACTTCTTGAAGATCAACAGTACACCCAAATCATGTCACAATCAGTGTTTTCCGACACCAGAATATTTCCTTCCACATGCTTCATTGTGATAACCAACACATTGAAAAACAGCTGTGGATCCTTTTCATAACCCATCCAAGAGAGCTGCATCATTGGTCCTCATAAGTCAATGATACTATGCCTCATTCAAGTGCCAATAAAGTCTTCATGGCTCTGGCCAGTGATCCCTTGAGGAGGCTCCAGAAATTGTGAACTACATTGATCAATCTCTGAAATACTGCAAGTGTTTGTGGTGAATTCCCAGAACACCTTCACTGACAATTTGCCTGATATTCCAAAGTATATTTAACACATAGAATTGTACACCTAAAAAGGAACGCTTGACTGTCCATAAGCTGTTTGACTTGCACGTGGGGCACTCTCCAATCCCAAATGTCGGCAACATGGGGTAGACCGGGAATCCGGATTTTGAGTGAGAATTCTCACAACTGCGCTGAGAAAACACCTGAAACGCGTACAGATGCACTAGCATAATGCTTGTATCAAGACTTTCCTTCAACCCACATGTCTGCCGCCCTCGCATGACTGCGGCACACGTGACCCTCTCCGTCTCCCTAGTTCCCACATTCATGGGTATACACCAACCAATGTCTTGTCAATATGTGATCTGTACACCATCGGTACACATCACAACGCGCGACAACCCGTTCCATGATCCCCGCTGTATCACATCAAAGCATCCCATCATCCCTCATCAACTCTATTGCCTGACCACCACGCAAACACCACGCAAACAAGGCCAACACCAAACCACCACTCACTTCCAACTACCAACCTCATCATCTCATTCATATCTCTCGTTCGTTCCGGAAATCATGTTGCTCGTGGACTTTGTCAATTGGCTCAATCAAAATCACCCAAAACTCGCCAATTGTCTTACCCTTCCGATGCTCATGCAATTCGTCACTCTGGCCGCCGAGGTGTACTCGCGCGCCCACCAAGCCCTAAAACTGTCCTCCAGCGATACCCAAATCCTACCATTCCTTGAGCTGGCCTTGCAGCTACAAATCGAACCTACGGATTACGAAGCTCTCTGGAACCTCACGTTTGCCTCACTACCCGCCGCCCACCTCGATCCAGTTGCTCTCATTCGTTTGCACGGGCTTCATGGGCCTCTAACCACAAAGGTTCACGAACGATACTTCATCCCGCCTATCTCTCAGTGCATAAACTGTAACCAACCTTCCGGGCACAGCCTTCATCAACGACCTCGTGTGGATGGCTACGTCTACGATATTGACGGGATTCACTCGGCGCAGTTTCACGACTGGAAATGTTTTGGTACGCTGCCAAAGCTTGGACAGCAAACTATTCACGTTAATTGACCAAACTCTCAATGCATGTCTAGATTGCAAAACATATTATCGGGCATCGTACTACAAATGGAACGGGTCCAGAATATACTATACTGAGGACCAAGGTGCCGATTCACTATGGTACCAGGTGCATTGCCACTTTGGCTTCACTCATCGGCTCGCAAACTACTTTTGGCAATCGCAGATGCTCGCCCAGTAAGTGCAATCACTTTAATGTCGCTCTGCAACTATTGCGGGATTATTTGGCTGACCAGAATCTACATACTTGTTCACGAAGTACGTCTCACTTTAATCTACTTAATCTATTCAACCTTACACATTTCAATAGTCAGCAAGTACCAACCCACACAGCGGCTCAATCTTTCTCTCCGAAGTTGTCACAAGAAATGGTTGGCGACGCCGTCGATCTCTTCAGTTTATTACGGCGTTGCAATCGACGCGGTGCCGTTCTATACCTCCCCGACGAGGGAGAGCAAGAGGATCGCTTGATCCCAGCCATGATTCGCGAGTTGCATTATATAGCAAATAAAGGGTCCAAGTACCGAGACCACGTTTGCTCTTTCTGCGTCAAAGAGGTAGATGTTGAGCATGAAGGAACTTCAGGTATAAAGGGTAAGTAGGCTTTCACTGCAATTGCGCACTTGAAAGCCAATTGGTTCGCTTGCTGATACCCACACTTCAATCCAGCTATTCGGGCAGTCGTGACGGACGGGCTAACCATCGGACACTGGCGGTGCACGGCTTCCTCAGCACAACTCGAAGAACTCGCGCACCGAGCTGGAGCTCCACCACCCAATGGACCTTGCCTAAACCAGATACCAAAGGTAAACTCACAATTCTGTCTGGAGCATGCTACCAGCTTGCAAGGCTGGTGCGAGGCGCAACCCTGCACCGCTCTTGCTGTCAAAGGTTCGAAAACGTGCTCAAACCCAGCCCATGTCGACGCCATGGCGGCATTCGAAATTTGGAAGAAGAAGGCCTTCAACCTCAAATCAATGCTCAATCGCCCTGGATCAAATCTCTCTTCAGACTCTCGTGGTGGGCGCGAGGTTTGGATTTAGGGCGCGCCCAGCGCGCCTTTTGAATCTTTTCAAAGGCGCGCCTATAGTGGGGGCGTCAAGGGCGCGCCTTTTGAGTACGTAAAATCGAAAAAAATGGAAAAAAACTAAAAAAAAATCAAAAAAATCAAAAAGGGACAAAAAAACTGTCGAAACTGTTGCAAGGGGAAGCCTGAGGATGAATTCTTGCAGATATTTATTACTTGGATGGAGAACAATGGAAATTTTCAAAATTGAATATTGTAACTTTACAATACTGGCATTGAGCAAGCCTGCGGTTTTTGGTGCCGTGTTGATTTTTTCGACATAAGGGAACCTTTCCATCAGTTTCCAAAGTTTACAGTTGGTGAAATCCACTCAGATGGTGTCTTGGTATTGTCCTTTGGCATGAATGGAGGTGGTGGGGTGTAAGAAAACAGCGAGAAAGCCCAAAAACGGCAGAACAGGCTGAAAGGGCGCGCCCACCCCATATTTCAACTTTTGGGGCGCGCCCTCACGCCTACGCCCGGGCGCGCCTCAAAGGCGCGCTTTTCACGCCACGCCCACCACGAGACTTCAGACCCTTCGGTACATCTGAACCCAGACACCTTGGAAATCATTGACTTGGACGGACTCCATCAGGCTGACGAGTCCAATAGGGCCCATGAAGCAGCCCGCGATGGTGGAACGGTGTGGTGATCAATTTATGTGATCAATTAAAAAATTCACAATTACCAGTTTACCAGTTTATTAGCAGGATTCAGCAGGAAAGAAAATTCGAAATGGAGGTTTTTGATCAATTGAAGCTCTTGTAGGCTTATGTATTGGTCATTAGGTCAACATTACATCATTTTATTTCACATTATATATTAAGATCATTATAGTTTACTTACAAATTTATTACAAAAAGAAAGAAAGAAAAACATAAGAAAAATTCGAAATTATAGGTATAAAGGTTGGAAAATGGTTTTTAGGTTAGTAAAAATAAAGTTATGGGTATTATGAGGTTAGAATATGAAAGAACAACATTATATGATACTATGACAATTTTAATCTTCAAGGTTGATAAGTAGAAACAGAAGTTATTAGGAAAAAAGCACTTTTTCGAAGTTGGTAAACAAGAGGTACACGTGTAGTTTGGTTGTGTAATAGTGGTAGTGATGGAATTTAAGGTTGCCAAGAGGATTTTCCGGGATTTTTAAGGCTATAGATGATGATGTCATATTACATGAGCAAGAAAAAGATAGTAGTAGCTGTGAAAAGTGAAGAAAATGGGTGAAATTCGTGGAAAATGGAGGTTTTCAGCTAATTACATATGTCAAATGACGTCAGAATAGGTTGGTAGATGGCTCATTCAACGCAGAAGAGTGGATTACATAATGTACAAACTTTAAATCATTAGTAACGGAGGTGTGTGTAAAAAGTTATAAGGCAAATAAAGAATTGGTGTGAATCTCGAATTTACAGTCACAAGTCATATGTAACACTAAAAACCTTAACTTCACAACTCAATATCTTACTCATCACTCATCAGAAGTAGGTCATGTAGGTGTCAGAAATGATCAGTAACACGTGGGCTACAAGATGCACTTTAGTAATCAAAAATTGGAGCACATCTGAAAAAATTCGTAATCTCAAAAATTGGTTTTCAGCTAGTTTACAAGGAAAAAATCACCTGTATTCATCATAAGAAGTGCTGTACATCATATTATTGCGTCATTGATCACTTTTAGCTGTGAAAATTACATCATTTATTAGTAACAAAACCATTACATTGCGTCATCATAGGGTTTTTAGGGAATTTTGGGCGGATTTGATTGGTTTTGAGGCTGTTGACCATTGTAAAAGTTCTAGTACATTGTTATATATACTTTGAGAGGGTTTTGGGACTGTTGTTCCCCTTTTTTTTTCTTTATCATTTACGCCATTATTATTTTGTTTATCATCATAAACTTATTTTAATAGTACCTGTTCACTTAAATACGCCCTTTATTACAGTTATAAAGAGAAATTTACTTTAGTTTTATATTCATAAAGACTTATTGGGAATAATATCAATCAGATATTGCTTATTTTTTTTCAGTTATCAATTGGGAATAACACTATAGCAGTGTTGATAGTAATACAAAGTGTGCTTTTGAAGTTAAAATTACGTGTGAAGTTATATTTCTCTGGTGCCTTATCAGTACTCAATACAACAGAGCTCTTTCTGATTGTGTTGTTTTAGAAGAGCAGTCCTTAGACAACTTCTACTAGTCATTTTATTAGTAGATTATCCTCTTCCAGCTCTGTATAACCCTTGTTGGGTTATAAGTTCTACAACGGCCAAACCCAAAGGAACACCGTGCTTGAGCCGTAGTCGGACTCATAACAATCAACTGATCGTTGGGACCTGTGGAATCATTTTGGCAAGACAGACGTTCTACAATTTGGAGGCACCTAGTGCCCTCAGGGTAAGTTTGCATCTCTATACAGCAGGTGACCAGATGCGAACTAATCATCTCGGTCTCGGTTCTCGCAGGACTACCTCATCGACACCTTCGGTGACAATATGCCCGAGGTCATATTTTATGACAATGCCTGTAATTTGCTCTGGGTCATCCACAACGGCGACATTGACCCCTCAGCGTTTGAAGAGACAATCATTCCAGTCGACCCTTTCCACCATCGCGCGCACGCCGAAAGTGATGGATTCTGTCGCATGTACAATGATCCAAAACTGTTTCCAGACTTACAAGAAAACGGCTCTTGGTGTTTCAACTCTTCTGCCGGTGAGTTAAGTAACATTTGGTATGGTGGCTATGCTTCCATGTGCCGCAACATGCAAGCCACCCGTTATGAATTCTTCCTCGAAGAAATGGTGGAGTATCGCAATGATTGGCTAAGTGCGGCACTAGCATGTCGTGAGAATATTAAATTCATTGGCTTTGGCAAGGTGTAGTTACATAGCCCTCGTAAGTTTTGGGACCTTACCCTCTGGAGATCATGATTTCATAACTGATCTATCACTATCTATCAACCATCCAGCCGCTCGCCTGCTGAATTGAGGATTGTGCTTTTAGGCTGCATTTCTTGGGGCGAATTCGTGTGGAAAGATTTGTCTTTGTAATACATGTCATATTTGATGGTGCAATATGTTTGGAAAAGATTATTTTAGAAATACTAGTTACATTTAATGGTTGGTGCGAAATCTTTTGGAAGCATGATTATTCAAATAATCAGGTGAGCAGTTGAATGAAACAAAGTAACTGTCCCAAAATGAGGTGAGGTGAACCTCCCCAAGCATGTGCATAGTAGTAAATTGTCCTCGGCACTGTTCTTTCCACGTGCCTATCCGCCCAAGGGTGCCTATCCTCCCTTGGGCGAATAGGCCCCTTTTTGGTTTTCCTCTTTCAAGCGGTCATAGTATATGGGTATACGCTAGTGACTATAAGGAAAGAAGAAAAAACAATTTTTGAAGCGTTCAATCCTTTTTTCTTCTTTCATGGATGTATCATGGTGAGACCTTTTGGAGGCGCAGTAGGCGCATCATGGGCCTACGGGGTAACTCACTGTTGCGCACACTGATAGTCTTCATTTTATTTACCAGAGGTGATCTGGTAATTAACAAAATGTGAGGAGGTAATAGTTCCTCAAACCCTCGTTGTTCAATGTACGAGTCAAGGCGGATCGGGAATTCAATGCAATGACTAAGAATTGGTATGGCCAAGTTGCCATATCAGTTGATCTGTACACACCAAATGGAAATATACACACTAATTACAATGGGGTGCATATAGGGGGGACTGCATCAAAGGATGATCAAGGAGCACGGTAGGTATTAACCTTGAGGGTTAACAGGAGGTAGGCCCACGGGGTAATAATGAGGTGGCCTGATTAACCCAATGGAATCACACATGGCACCACAGACATGAGTAGAGGAGAATAGCTGCAATCCTCCCGTGTAAGTGTTTTGTAAGAACCAAAGCCAACTACAACAGTCAAGGAAAAGGAACATTCAGTATATGTGTTCATTCAGTCAAAAGTAAGCAAACATACGTATTATCCATGATGTTAACATCAGTAATAACGCCATTGACACCCCGGAACCCACAGACTAGTGCTTGTCGGCCGTGATATTCATAGGTCCAGTGCGTAAAGCATTCGAAAAGGCAGCCAAGGAAACTGTTGGCTTTGTTGCGGGGGGCGAACTCACAATCAGATGTGATGTATTTAGGTTCGCCTCCATGCAAGCTCTCACGCAAGTTATACCAACGTATCATTTGCTCGCCCAGGTGGTTGGTCTCGAATTTCTTACGCAAAACTACATTCTGGACAATCTGAACATTCGAAAACGCCGTCAGATTGTTTCAAAGCTAGTACTTTCAGCTTGTGATGACTCACATGCAGCGCTGCAAGAATCACCGTTTGTCGAGGGGTCAATATAGCCGCTCCTCGAACCACTTTCTTGAATTTTTTGAGCAGGCTGGAGGCGTGTCCTAAAATCTGAGCAAATCAAAAGTGATCACCCATGGCGTTATCCTCAGGCTTGAGAGCACAGACTTCCATTGGAATGGAGTCATAAGCACGATGCCACATCGCTGAGAAGAGGGATCAACCGTCCCAAGGATAGCGTGAAACATTGTCCACATCGATGTCGACCACTTTACATGTCCACTTATGGCCAAAGACGTCTGAAGGTGTGCTGGGTATATCTTCCCGTTGAACCAGCCCGAATACAAGATCGTGTTGACCCTCATAGTTTTCGGCGGTGGCTGGATCGTCGAACGGTAGGGCGTGCCAACCAAGATTCTCGGATTCAATGAAACGCTTTGGAGAAACTGGGTTGCACGCAACCCAGTTGGGGGTGATCAGCATACGAAGCTTTGAAAATAAGTAGGAAAACCAAACTGACCAAATCCCAAGGTTTTGACCAAACTCATTGTGAACTAATGGTCAAGTGCTCGTTTCGTTTTTCAAGTATAAGAGTGGAACAAATGGAATGAGTCGGAGGGGAGGGAGACAAGATGCTCGAGGGAAGGTGTAACAAGTTGGACCGAAAGAGGCAAAGGGCAAGAAAAACAGAGAAAATGGAGAGGGAAAGGGGAATCTAGGACCTACCTTGCTCGGTGGTTATAAGGTTACCCACGCGCTTCAGAAGAAATAACGCCTTGGCGACGGTCAGGGGTTGGGCCAAAAGCACTATGGTTCATTTTCATGAGGATATCAACCGGGCTGACAGTCCTAATAGTCTATTACATGGCACAAACAGGGGTACTGAAGGATCACAAATGAACAAACTAGGAACGTTGACTTATGTCAACTTCATTGCAGTATGACACGCACTCATGGTCGTTAATCATCAGTCGCTCTCGTCTGAGGAGGTGTCCAAGGCGCGTTCTTCGGCGGTCAGTGTGTCCTTGGCCTTGGTGGACCTTTTGCGTTTAGAAGACTGGCCAGCTGGTCCAGCTGCTGTAGGAGTAGTTTGAGTGGCATCGTCTTTGATGCCAAGTTGGGTTTTTTCTTTTGGCGGACCGGGCAAAGAGCAGACTGTGTTGTACTCTGACTGGAAATGCGGTCGGGTCTGAGCGACAGTGAGGTTGTGCATCGTGTGTTCGCCTCGCTCTGTGAAATCTTTTGCCCATTGGACCATTCTTTCATATCCGACTAGTTTGACCCAACCCACATAATGGTAGACGGTTTTTTTTGAAAATCGATATTCGCTACCGAAACGCACATGCCACAGTTGGATACGAGCCTTACGACGAGGAGGAATGCCGGCTGAAATGAACCAATCGAGTAATGAAGAGACCAATAATTCTTTGCCTGGCCACTCTTTTAAACTCCCATAATGTTCCGGTTCTTGCGGATGTAAGTCAGAGTGAGAGGGCTTCACGTCGAGCTGCGAAAAGCATAGACTGAAGTCAGTTGAAAGTCAAACGTGAGTGGATGCAGATGGGATATTCGGATTGCACAGACCTTGTCGACCTGCGAAATGCATTGATTGAAGTCAGTAAAAAGTGAAACGTGAGTATATGCAGAGCACAGACCTCTTCAGCTGGGTTACCTAGAAGACTAGATGCCGGGGTAGATGGCATTTCACTCCAAGGCTGTAACGATTGTTGATGAGTCTCTTCATCGGAGTCCGAGTCGAACAACAAACAGATGGGTTCAGCCCTGGTACCTTTAGTTGCATTTGGGGGGACGCGATTCGGAAATCGAGCGTTTTGAATAGAGCCGGTTTGGACGTTGGCATTGGCGACTGAACCGGTGGAAATTTGTGTTTGTGGGACGTTTGAGTCGGTCGACTCAATTTTGATTTGAGGTACCAGGGGTTTAACCAATTGAAATCCCTCAAGTTTTTCTTGAAGCTCGAGGCTGAGGGACGACCGCTCGTGGGGTAAGCATATCACAAGATTTTTGACCGTCTCGATGTAGGTATGAGGAATGTCCACGCCAAGTTCACGCTTTCGGGGTGAGAGAAATCAAAATCGACCAAGAAACACCGTTTTAAGTCAATGTTCCATGGACTTACCCAGTTTCTGATTTCTTCGTCCCATACAACAAGGTGACCATTCCATGCCTGCCCGGCTGCGGCTTGGGTGTCACACATTAGGCTTGGGGAATCGCTGAAGACGGCGACGGGCCAGTCGTTGAATAATTGGGATATTACGGGGTTTGAAGAGCCCTGCAAACATCTTTGTGAGCTGTGGAACCGCGTAATGCCAAATGAGACAGTATGAGATTCACTTACGCGGGTGACAAAGTGGAGGCTCACTACCTTTGATCGATCAATACCCTGATTGCGAACAGCGTCATTGGAAAAGGCCGGATTGGGCACTCTGGGCGTGGCTGGAGTAACGTTGAGACGAGCGCGAGCTAGGACTAGAAGTCCTTCGTCATTGACCATGTGCCCAACTCGTCGAACACTCTGGGCGCACTGAGCTGGTAAGAGTTTGGGTCGTTTGGCAACCGGTGGATTGGGAGGTGGCGCAAGTCGTGCAGGGGTAGCTGTGGCAGACGGATTGGTCGCTGGTTGAGGCGGAGGTGCCTTGACCCTGTGGACATAGCAGCCGCCGGCGGGAGTGAAGGCCACACAACACTATGTAAGTCATGGTGGTTAGTGTGCAGATCAAATCCATATGTGAGAACCTAATTACTAACCGATTTGCAAAATCGGTGAGTACAGCCAGTATGACCTGTCTTCTTGTGCCCCTTCGCTGTTGGGCCGATGTGGGGGCGCGCACAGTCAATGGCTGGGGCAATTCGATTAAGTCAATTGTTGGAGCCAGACGGCTCGCTCGTCTGTGCTACACCGGTTCGAGGGGCAAGGGGCATCCCGTGGACGTTGACTTGGGGTCCGTGGGCAGAAGCATCGAACGGAATAGGGTAGGTGGCACCGGCGTTGATCAACGCGATCTCGTGACGAAGTTGGTTGAGCTTAAAAGTGCGGACGTAATGCTTGATTGTTGGGCACTGTGGTGGGGAACGACATTAGGGAACGACATTAGCGGCTGGTCGTCAACGCGGAGGTCCAAAGCTGAAAGGATTATATTGAGGCCCACGATCACATTGATGGTGTCCTTAGTTTCGTCTTTGCTCGAAGGGTAGATCAGCAAAGTGGTGTTGGATGGTGGACACTCTGGACAAGCAAGTCCAACGGGCGTGCCATGGGCCGGGATCGGTATCGTGGGGAACGAGGGCAGTCGACGGTATTTGGCACCAATGTAAGGGTTTAACACCATCTCTTCTAACGGTGTGGATGTGGATGAGACGCTTCGAAGGAAATAAAAATTGCGCTGATGGAGACATCGTGGAGGTTGACGAGGTTGTGTAAGGGTCGCGTTTCAAGTGAAAAAATTTTACTGATGAAAAAAAAGGGAAGTAAAGGGGGTTTTGTATGGATACGCGTGGACCTATGGGTTGATGGAGGTGCGACCATCAGGGCTAGGAGGCCGGCGCGCAGCAATTCAGGACCGGGTTCGTTATGCTACAAGCATCCGGAAAATTACAGTATGTTTGTGCTGGGTTCTGTATTTTGACCTGAGAATTCTCACTGAGAATTCTCAGAAATTATCCAGAACCCGGATGCTCCCGCAACATGCGTTGCGGGCAGTACTCTGATAGATACATATGAACAGTGGGGGGAATTTTCAAAAACATCTCGTCTGTGTCGTGTTTGGCCCGGATCAAAACATGGACATACTGCCCGACGGGCATGACTCAATTGTTCGAGGGCAGGGGGAAGTATGGGAAAGAAATCAAGCCTGTTGTGGCTGGTTTTTTGTTGGTCATGATGAGATTGTACCATAGCATGTAAGTTGGGGACAAAGGACATAGAAATACGCTTAGAGTTAAACAATAGAAAATATTGCGTTTGGGAATCGCGTGCAAAGGGCGGCCAAAGACGAACAGGGCAAGTTGAGCAAAAAGGTGATGGTCATTTTGCAAGTGAAATTGAGTAACATGTCTATTCCTCATCTTCTTCACCGGCCTCTTCACCAGCATCAGCCTTCTTTGCCCGTTTCCTCTTGACACGTCCAGCTCTTGATCCACCGTAAGGACTGGTGAGGGCAAAGTCAATGTGTTTTTGACTGTCGAGTCGTACAACAAAAGAGGGAACGTTGACAATCTGTTTACCGACACGGATGTGACGTTGACGGATGAGGACTCGAGCGTGATGGATGGATTTGGCCAATCCAGACTTGAAAACCTGGGTTTGGAGACGGCGTTCCATGAAGTCCTCGATCTGATGAAGTGCAAAGTGATGGATTGAGCATAGATGATCAGAACCCATCCGTGTAGTGTGGAAGAGGGTACTCATGAATATCGAGTACAAACCTTCAAGGCCAACACGTAATCCAATCTCATCCTGGCTTCATCCAACACACCAATTCGGACTAATCGACGGATCAAAGCGTTTCCTTCGAACAGCCTCTTGGGGTCCTTGTCTTCAAGTTTCAAGAGTTCACGA